GACCTCATCTCCCATCCTCCCATCCTCCCAAACCACACTTTTTCCTGCGGAGCTTCTGAGTTCCCGTTTTCTATATGGAAGCTTCAGCCGCCATTCTTTAACCTGCGGAGACCCTCAACCACCCCGTCTTCTATTTCTGTATAGAAGATTTTTATATTAACGTTACAGCCACTCAGTCTTCTCCACCTATCTTTTCTTTGGCGAGACACTCCCACCGCACTTTTTTCCTAGGGAGACTCCAGCCCCCAGCCCCCTCCCATTGCCTGTGGAAATCTTAACCTCCTCCCCCAGTTTCCCTGTAAGAGGCCTCTCTCCCAGGCACCTTCCCAACTTTCCCAGTGGAACCCCTCCTATCACCCTTTTTCCCTGTGAAGAAAGACCCTCGCCCTGTGACACGACCTCACTCACCCCATCTCCCCGTTTGTCACACAATAATCTCCTCCCCAACCTACTGATACTTAAACAACCCCACCAGTTTCTCCTTGTGTTCTATCCCAACACACATGCCCTAGAACAGTGATGGCGAACCTATGACACGCGTGTCAGAGGTGACATGCGAACTCATTTTTTTGGTTGATTTTTCTTTGTTACATGGCATTTAAATATATAAAATAAATATCAAAAATATAAATCTTTGTTTTACTATGGTTGCAAATATCAAAAAATTTATATATGTGACACAGCACCAGAGTTAAGTTAGGGTTTTTCAAAATGCTGACATGCCGAGCTCAAAAGGTTTGCCATCACTGCCCTAGAACTTGGCTTCCCTCCTCCTCAGCCTGGCCCCAATCCTCTCCTTGAGCTCCAACCGGCCTAGGTTCCAACTCTGGTCTTTGAGGATAACTTAGTCTCCCAGCTCCCATTCTTCACGCTTCCCTGACTGTGGGCTTTGATGAACACACTCAAATTTGAAGAGTGGGCTAGCCAGGCAAGCATCCAAGCATGTCAAACATAAAGGAGGCATGTGGCCCGTTGGCCGCGAGTTTGACATGCTTGCACAGTTCCCACTGCGCGCACCAGGTTCCAGCTGACCTACAGCCACAATTCTTTTAGCACTTTTGTTGGTCTGACCCCAAATCTGGAGGTTAGGTGGGGTGGGGTGGGCTGAACCATGTTGATATCCAGCTTCAAACAATCAGCTAGGAGGTCACAACCTTTTGGGCATCTTTTCCAAGGTGCCTTCATAGATGTACTTACTCATCTGTGTGACATAAAGGTAGACATGGCTCTCATCTCACAGATGAGAAGATGGAAGCCACAAAAAATGAAAGACCTTTCAAGGAAAGGTCTACAAAAATCTAAAAATTTAAGGTCACCCAGAAAGTCTTGCCACCACTTTCAGGAGGAAGTACAGGCTTACCTCTGTTTTATTGCACTTCACAGATGTTGCATTTTTTACAAATTGAAGGTAAGCCTCACCAGCAAAAAGATCACTACTCATTTTATTATGGTGGGGCGGAACTGAACCCACAGTATCTCTGAGGTACGACTGTACTCCATCCAACCACTTCTCCGCTTGGTGGTTAAAAAGCGAAGAGGCAGCAGCTAAAGAGTGGAGACCTGGGAAGCCAGGGTATACTAATCAGCACCTCGAGGTGGTAGTTGGGCAGTTTGCTTGCAAAGCCAGCCACTTGGGTTAGTTTAGGGTTGATACAATTGGAGATGTTTGTGTGCTGGGCCAATGGATCAGTCTCTCCCTAGTTTCTCTTCTTTTTAAATTATGTCGTCTACTTGTGGCTAACTATAGAATAAGTCCAGTTAAATCCTTTCTGTAACAAGGCAGGGTGTAAATAAATTAAGTGTAGATTGTCGCTATGTAATAAGATTTCGTTTTAAAGCCAAGAGGAGATATAAGGAGCTAATAGGTTAAGGGATTCACAGTTCCCAAATGGCAGGAGATCAGGTTTCAGTTAGCCTGCTTGTGCTCCTTGCATTTAAAAGGAACTGTGTGGTCATTATCTAGTATTTGTATTCTTAGGAAGCCCCTGCCTGTTATTTAATAATCTGTTTATAGAATCAGAGTTGAGGTCCAAAGTCAACCTGCTGGTCATTATATTTTACTAGAGAGAAGCAGACTTCTCCAAGGTCACATAGCTGGTTGGTAGCATAATTGACATTAGGGCTTGTTCTGAGTCCAGGGTTCTTTTTTTTTTAATTGATTTCATAGAGCAGCGGTTCTCAACCTGTGAGTCGCGACCCCTTTGGGGGTCGAACGACCCCTTCACAGGGGTTGCCTAAGACCATCAGAAAACACATAATTACATATTGTTTTTGTGATTAATCACTATGCTTTAATTATTAATTATGTTCAATTTGTAACAATGAAATTGGGGGTCACCACAACATGAGGAACTGTATTAAAGGGTCGTGGCATTAGGAAGGTTGAGAACCACTGTCATAGAGGAAGGGAGAGGGAAAGAGAGAAACATCAATGATGAGAGAGAATCATCGATTGGCTGCCTCCTGCACACCCCCTACTGGGGATCCAGCCCTCAACCCAGGCATGTGACCTTGACCAGAACTGAACCTAGGACCCTTCACTCCACAGGCTGACGCTCCATCCACCAAGCTAAACCAGCCAGGGCCTGAGTCCAGGGTTCTTTATCTTTACTAAAACCTGGGAGAGAATGAATCCTCTATTTTAGAAGTGGAACATAAATAGTCCACATCAGGACTCTCAAAAGAGAGCAAAGTGGGTACTATTATTAATTACACCAGGACAATAAAGCTTTTGCCCAGAGAAACTCAAGTTGGGAAGTAAACTCTGGCCTGAAAATCCAGGCTGTGGTTCTTACCCTTAGGGCTCTAACCTATCAAACTTGCTTTCTGCCTCTTCCCACAGAGCAAAAGGAATTTGATTTCTGCCTGCCCCCCCAAAAATAGAGTGGACCTGGCTTTAGAAGCCTCAGATACTGAGGAAATCTCAGTCTTGTTAGGTTGACACTAGCAACTACAGATCTGACAAGACACCTTTTGCTCTCTTTTGTCCTCAGCGTCTGGAAATAGATGCTTCCAAAACATGGGTCCACGTTTAACACAATAGGTTTGTCCTTCTGCCCCCTTCAATTGAGAAATTCAACAGGCACTGCTTGAATAAGTCATGGGACCAGATGATCTGACCCACAGCTGTGGTCAGGCCAAGGTTCATCTTTATGATTATGAACAAAAATAAAATGACAAACAAAAAGACCTACCGGATACTTTTTTTTTCTTTTTTTCAGGCAGGAAACAGGTTCCTCAGCTATTTCAACTACACATGTCTTTTATCATGCCGTTGGTTTTGGTTTCATTTTCATACATAGTGGAGGAGCATCTTGTGCAGTGGTTAGATCATAAAGTTAGGGTGTAAAGACAAAATGAAATGTAGTCAAATTATCTTTGAAATTGCCCCGAAGGTGCCTGGCTGGTGTGGCTCAGATGTTGAGCATCGACCCATGAATTAAAAGGTCACCAGTTCAATTCCCCATCAGGGCACATGCCAGGTTTCGTGCTCCACCCCAGTGGGTGGCACACAGGAGGCAGCCGCTTGATGATGTTTTTCTCTCACTGATGTTTCTAGCTCTCTATCCTTCTCCCTTCCTCTCTCTCTAAAAAAAAAAAAATCAATATTTAAAAGTAAAAAAGAAATTGCCCTGAAGGTTAAGTACACATGTTACATGTATATAATTGTGTCCTGTGTTTTATAGGAGTGAGTTTGTGCTGTATTGGTGACTGATATTCCATATCTAATTCTAAAGAACGGTTATATTAAAAAATGATGCCACTTACATATGGCACTTAAGTTAAAACACTTCAACTTTAAGATGATTCCAATTTATAGGTTCTCTTCTTGTCCTGTAGATGATTTTATCAGCTCCTCCAACTTTTGAGTTGATATTTTTCTGATCACCCATTAATTATTTGGTTAATTTCTGCGGTATTGAGGG